CATGGATCCTGACAAGGTAAACTATTTTTTGTATTTTATCTTTTTTACCACTTTTTTTGATTGTTTGAGTATAAACTCCGTTTAAAATCTGTGATTTCTTCGTTATTCCGAAGACAAATCGGTCCTGACTGGATGGCGGAGAGCTAATTTCACGAAAACTCGCTTAGAAAAAAAACCCCTGAAAGAGGAAATTATCGGTGGTAGCTCTTATAATGTATGAGTAAAGAAGAACCTTAATTCCTCCCTTTTCCACTCCAAAAGGATAAAGTTAAAAAAAATACATTTTAATATAAAATATTTTATTCAAAAAGTCAAAAAAAATTTGTTGTCAACACATGCGACCACTCGGGGGTTGCTTCCAGGTTCCTTCGCTTTTTTCGGTAGCTAGACACGAAAAAAGTTTTAATTTTTCATTTTTGATGTAAAAATTTCTGAGAATTTTTTGCATGTGATTTTTATTTGCAGCGTATGAAATATGCGAGTTATTTGGCGGACAAAACTTTCTCCAGTCTTCACGATGCATTCACTAGTTCAATGTACCAATTTTTGATTTTCATTTTTTTTTTAAATTTTGAATTTTTTTCGTTTTGTTAACAAAATAATTTTCCTGTTGCAAACAAAATAATTTTCTTTTATAGCGCATTTCAAAAGAGTTCTGAAATTTCGCATATACAGTGCCAAAATTACCCGAATATTCAGTTTGGGAATACTATGTTAGTAATGTCACCCGGGATGTCCCCATCTCGGGTAGAACTACCCCATCTCCTTCGGTCTTGGGTAATATGCGTCGTGTTGGTGGTACTCAATGAAATGTTCATTTTACCCTACAGTAATTTTGTTTGGCACCATTCAATTGGATTCCCGAATTTTCGTTTTTTCTAAAATTCGCCAATATTTCGCCAAAGATATCTGTTTTATTAGGAATTCGGTATTTTCTGAATGAAATAAGAAATCCATCTTGCGGCTAGCTCTGCAAAATTTCCTCCAGCGGTCGTCTACTTCTGTGGTCAATACCACTCATTAGTGCGAAACAGCCTAATTTGTCACCAAGGGGGGGG